AGTTGTATACTCTTCCGCAGGACGGAAAATTCTTAGCTGAAAAACTGGAAATTTTTCGGGAGAAAATGGAAAAAATGGTAGGATGTTGGGAAAATTTAGGAAAGTAGGTAGGTAGCATGGGAGGGATCGTATTTGAGGATACAATCAGGGAGAGTCATATTTTTCAGGGAAATGATCACAATGCGATGGCGTGCCCTGATCACCCCCCCCCTCAACAACGTTGGTACCCTCTGTGAGTGGTCAAAGGAATCATAGTGGCGTCAAAGAAATTTTGGCGCGGTGCCAAATTCGTAAACCACTAGTTGCTAGAGCATGTGACAATCCTGTATCCATCGTTCGTATCACTCGTTTCCTACCAACTGTTGTCGCATACCCGCTTCAACAGCTGGCAGAGAACTTGGCGCAGTGGCACACTCATATTGCCTGACACGCCCCTTCATCCGTAGCGAACTAGAATATAACAAATTAAACTAGCACACGTCTCCCACCATGCCACGTGCGACCGCCCACGCCAACACCCACATCGATGACCAGCGTGATCAAACTGACAGACTGAGGGAGACTTCCACCTCCACCAAAATTCATAGTGACGACCAGGACGCCTTGAACTTCGTGCAAGGCAGCATTTTAGCTAGCGGCAACGGTGTCGAGTGTTCCTCTCGATGAAACCATCCTGCAACAAGCAGCAGAGCGCAATTTGCCTACATTTTTTTGCTCGGGTTGATACTGGTCTCGATGGAATCATTCCTAGGGGCATCGCTAACAACCGCGTGAATAATCACCCCATCAGGTAATTATTGAATTTGACCAGGTCCAAAAAATTCCTTGTGACCGTTACAGCTGTCCAGCGACACGGCACAATCGGTAGGACTCTAATAACTGCCACATCGCGCGGTATAATCGAGAGAGTCGCGATGTGTAAACGCAACTCAATGGATGGTTCAAGCGATTATATGACTACCGCTGGAATACGTTTGTCGCCGCTTCTAATCTTTGCTGTCATTTCGGCCTTTTTTCGAAAGCGGTTTTTCGCGTCCAGCCAGTAGTCATGCTATCCAAACCCTCACTGAGGCAGCGTTCACACTTCGCGATAACGCGCCTCAACACGCTTTAACGCGCTGTGACGCGTGTCGACGAACTAGACTGCAATGGCGCTTCATTGCTATGGATGGTAACGCAGGTTTCGAGAGATGCAAGATAATAGGACTGTTTTTTCGACATAAGCGGTCGGCGCCGATATACCCGTCTACGGCTGCGTTCCCGTCTATATCGCTGAAGTGTCATTGCAGATAACAGCGTCGACGCGCGCCATCGCAAAGTCTGAACGCCGCTTCAGATCCTAACTCGTAAGAATAATCCGCGCATAAATTTAGTGAATTCTACAGACTGTCAAGCAATCGCGAACTGTGAACCCTGTCTGAAATCTGCGCTCATGTTTATCACATTCGGCGATCCCAAACAAGCATCAACCTCCACCCACCTGAGTTTACAAAACACAACGATAGCCGTACAAACCGCTAGAATCCAAGTGCCACCTATTATTTGGTGAAAGCAAATGATACAGAGTTGAAACTGAAAAGCATTTCCATTTTTACTCACCACTAACCAATAGGGGGTCGGGCATGGCGGGGCAATCATACGTGCAGGTAACTAAATTGCTTACTTAGCCTTTACTGGACTGAAATAATTTAAAATCGCTCGAAACTGCTCTGCCCAAAGAGCAGAATACTCGGTATTTATTAGCGCTTTAGTTCGGGGTACCAGATGAGTGACGATGATTTCCAGTGGCAGTTAGAATTCACTGAACAACACCCGATCAGTGGTTCGAAAATTCGCCACCTATGGAAATGGTCGGTATGTGTTCTTACTCGGTAATAAAAGGGTGAGTGCCTTCGTTTGGTTGCGAGTCAATCCTAAACTAATCAATATCCATTTTTTACACTACGCTCTTCCAAACTTCACCATGTTCGGACATCAATGACCCTTTCGAGTTCAGGAGAACTACTGTAACATTCCAGACTAATCGCGACGATCGTATACATTATTCTCAATTTGATTTAGAATGTATTGATTTATTTCTGAGTGTGAAAACACGCTACCTTATAAAAGGACTTCAGGTTCGTTTGAATTCACAAGTTGAGGACTTCAGGCCACGTTTATATTGCGCGATCCGAGCGACCGGATATGATCGTGTATGAAGTATGAACGCACTCTCAAAGTGATCGCGGGGGGAGGGGCTGAGGGCTGAACCGCTTTATGCTCGTCTGCTCCCTCAAATGATTCAGTTACATCCGCCAAGCACTAACGTCGAGAAGGCGCATACAGGCAAGAAACGAGCCCAGCATTTCTTCTACAGCCCTCTCCAGCTTCCTGGGGGCGTATAAAAATTGAGTTTCCAATAATGCACTGATGAGAAACAAAATGGCGCAGTTGCTAAAGTGTCTGCGGCATTGTTCAACCAGTATTACCCCAATTCACACGGGATCGGGCCAGTTCTTGAGCGACTTCTTTCTATGAGGGTAGATTTCGCTGAAACTTCGTTTCCAGGAGCAGTTAAACCTCCTGAACACGAAACATCTTTCCTGCGTTCGAACCGAAACAGCCTTGGCGCGCAAAGCCGCCCCTGGATAAAGCAGACCCGCTGGAGACTTTGTATCCGAGGCGCGTTTGACCTTTCAAACATGCATATCACATCGGCTTGGCCCGAGAGCACCTGGCAAAAGCGCTTCAGGTACCAGCGCCAAAGAACCCTCCATCACGTGGGTTATTCGACATCCTGATTACAAATATGACGTTTATTCTTGGCGCTGGTGCTAAAGGAGAACACCATACGATCTGCACTCTGCTAAAGCTGAGGCTGGCCCGAAGGGAATCTCTCCTGCTCCCAGGAGTCAGTCTTAGCAGAGCGCTAAATGGCGCTGCTCTAACACACCGAATATTCCAGTAGGCACATTTACACAGATTTTGGTAGAATAGTAGTGCCGCCATTTTGGCGGCTGGTGGCGTCAAATGGCGGCAGGGTCGCAAAAACAAATGCATATCTGTGATCTAAGTCTGTTGATCTGAGTATCCGAATCGCCTTCACAAAGTTTCAACGACAAATACTTCTTGAGATTCCTCCCTACAGGAATCATTTGATATCGGATCCTGGTAGATCAGAAGTAAAGCTCTTGTTAACGTCACATAATTTGAAAGAGCCCTCGAAAACTGCGAAGACTAAGCTGGTGTGGGAGCAACCGATGCAGCGGGCAGACGGACATAAGGTCCAGTTTCTGAACGCGCGAATCCACTGCATGAGCGAGAGGAAGCAGAAACCCTTCCCAGTCATCCACTGGATGAATGGTCCACCTTTCACCCGTTTACGCGGTAACCTGTCCTACACAAGTCCCTACACATTCCAAATTCACATATGCGCTGCTCGTTCCGCAAAATCACATAATTCGCATAGTAATATATGTAACATATACATATGAAAACGAACGCCAAATCTTACGTCACACCTTCCTCCCGTGTTCCCAACAAGTTTTCCTTGCGAGTTTCAGGATATCGGATATGTGCTCAATTTCTATGCGCTCTCTCCCACAATTCTAGTTTTGGTGGATTACGCAGAATTGACAGCTAACGTTAAACAAACCGCTATTCTCGTGAGCTTTTGTTTAATTGACTCATAAACACTCCTAATCAAGGTTGAATATCGTATCCACGATAAGGTAAGCGTGGTATCAGATGCTCAAGGAACGATGAGATGCCTAATTTCGTAGCGATACGACGAGGGTGCACTTTTACAGCGACATATAAACCATCAAAGCGCTCCGCGTTCAAGTAAAAAGGGAATGTAATGTGGGCGGAAAGAGCCGGTGCGCACTCTAAACGGGCACTTTCAGACTCTATGAGTGGTTGATCCCTTGCGATTCGCTTCGCTGAGGTGACCCCGAAAACTAGCAGATTGCCAAAATCTTCGTTCTGAAGTTCACTAGGTCGTTCAGTCTGCCGTCCAGCTTCAGCGCTTCTGATTTCAACGAAAGAACCTAGACAGCCTGAAAAATGAAGGAAAAGTTCCTATGAATTACTCTCGAAAAAGAAGGACTTTCTTCAGCTTGATACGGACTTCTACACTGGTTCCCACTTCCTCGAACGTACTTACTGTGTGTCGACTACTGTTGCGTTCTTTTTCGTCCAGTGCGTAGTTGGTGAACAACAATGTGTTATCTTCGCTCCGCCTAACAACGCTAGACTATTGAATGGTTTGCGATTGCACGATCATGGGAGAAAACCTCGGCTCAGGTCGAATTTTTCCAGGAGGGCAGTCAACGTTCTGTTGCCATCTCCTTCCAAAACAGCCATGGTCAGCTGCTTCTGATCGCAATATCTCAATGTTTGTGCACCGAGTAAGTTTTGGCCTTCACCCTACTGACACGCAGTGCAGCAACGCGCAGATTTGCAAATAGGGACGGTCACTTGTGAATGCTCACTGGCGCTCATCATCGTGCATTTCAAGGTGGGTTAGTTGCAACCGAAAGGAATTCTCGCTAACAGAGTTTTCAGATTGTGCAAACGTGCCACAGATCAGGTACGGTTTTTGTCCCCTGCAGCCGCCGCAGCCCCTTTTCCCACCTTTGCACACCACCAGGCTAAATCCTACTAGTTTCATTACCTTATTAGCGGCCGTAAATTACTCCTTACCTTTTCACGTTCACATATAGGGTTGTCTCGGTAGTCTCCGTGTTCCCCCCCCCATCCCCCCTACTGCTCAACTCCAGGTGCCACTCAGCGAACACCGGAAAGGTGACAATACCCGTACTAACCGGGTATGCCCTCTTGCAGGCAAAGAAGTATTGTCGCAGTCGCAACATCGCCCTATAATGATGCCGCTACATTGACGATGCCTACCAGGGTACTTGCTCACGATTGGTCGATTGTTACCACCTACCAATCATAGGCATGCCTTCCATTCACGTATCGTGACTCGCCGGCTCTGATAGGTCATATGATTATGTTTGACCTGTTCATTGAATTAGCAGTTCAACCGCCGCCCAAGTCCGCCTTTTTATCGGGCAAATTTCGTGACAACCACTCGACCACAGACTGGGAAAGTTGGCGCTGACAGGGTTAAAAGGGGGCGGGGGCTTAGGGGCACGGATCAAAGGCTAATTGGTCGTCACGTCTACTCCCCAAATCGTTTTCTTCTCGAAGACTTCCACGTCCTAGAAGAGCGTGGGCAAGACAGAGTCGCCGTAGACCGCATTATCTGTGGCAGCGCTCTCTAACCGCTCATTCAAGTTTGCGCGCCTGTGAGGAGGGTATCAACCATAACACCGTTTGCGCGCAGGTTTTACGGATAGCGTCGATTTCGAGACATAATTTTCCAGGACGCCCGAGCGTTTTTTGATTTCCTTAGCGCCGGTAAGCATTATTGCCGACATGTTTATTTCGCTGCGGACCAAAAATACGGGAGGATAAGCGCCAACCACGTCCTAGTGGCGAGACTGCACACCCTGCCCAACCTTGGACTGCCATAACTGCTTTGGCTTAGCCTTTAAAGGCTGAGCCCGATTTCAAGAATAATGAGTTATGGACCTCATATAATACGTGATCCAGTAGTGAAGAGAAAAGCAGAAAAAAATATGGAAAATGCCCTATATAGAACCCTATGCTGGCCAGGTGGGCGGGGCGGCCGACTCTTCACTAGCGAACGGCGCTATCCTCTCGCCTTTTTGAGATGCAAAACTAGTACATACTGCATCCTCATAGGGAGGGCTATGATATCCAGAGAGGGCGCGGGAACATCAATGAACGTGGGCGCTGCCTTTGAATTCGCCTGAAAAATGATGGTAGTGCCTTTTCTGTGTTGCTCTAGAAGCGTCTGTGCAGGCGTTCATGGAACGACCATCCCATTCGTACCTAGAATTTCAGGTTAACGCCCAAGTTCACTCACAACGCGGAGTGTCTTTAACACGTTGGGAATCACCACAGTTCATCAGCGTCAACGAGCTCGGTTTCTTTCTCGAACGAGGACAAGGAATTTGTCCTGACCCCTTCACTATCGTCATTATGAACATAAAGTACGTTTCGTTTGTCACTATCGACCCGCTGATCAAGTACCCCACGGTCCGTTACAAAACCACTGCTCCTTTTCAGCAGTGGTGATTGGCGTCTGGTTGTGTGTACCGCCGATGTAATCACTGGATTTCCCCGAGATTCTCACGACCAGATGCCTATTGACAGCACAGCTCTGCACAGTGCCACTGGACAGGTGATCTTACTATTTTCCTGCACCAAGCATTTTTTCGGTCGGTGTACAGGTTGGAGAGGGGAATGGGTTGAGATTAACCACACTGGTCTAAAGGAACGGTCCGCGATGACCTATGAAAATGCAAAAGGTCGTTTGGGAGGTTAGCGCGGTCCGCGGTGGACAATCTTGTGCCAGTTTTGCGGCCGAAATTGTAAGGTAAAGGAGTTATGATGCAAAGTGCTTCAGAGACACCTCCCTTTTCCCAGTGACTCCGCCTCCAGACTCTGCCTTCAAAGCCCGCCTTCCAGCCAAAAGCGATGCTACCGCATTGATGCAAAGTGCTTCAGTGACACCTCCCTTTTCCCAGTGACTCCGCCTCCAGACTCTGCCTTCAAAGCCCGCCTCCAGCCAAAAGCGAACCGCATATGTAGCATGGAAAGGAGATGCTCCGTAGTCTCCTGCGGAGACGAGAACCTTCTGGGAAGAATAAATCGATTGGATGCGATTCAACATGCGGTTTTTCGGCCTTTTACCCGTACGACTGTCTGAGACTGGAGTGGTCCTATTAGGAGGCGTTTCCGACGTTCCCTTTGGCATTTTCTCTTTACAGACGAGTCACTTACAAAATTGTCTTCCTTTTTCAACACCACTAAATGAGCCCCTGATCGCGGACCGTGCCTTCAATGACGTGCGTCTCCTCGTAACTGTATGAGGGTAGCACCAAAAAGGGTGTGATTGTGGGTCTCCGCCATCGGCGCATCTGAAGTGTGCCTTTGAAGGAGTTCTGCACAAGAGCTACGCGTTCTCATCCTCTAAAACCCAGTGGACTTACAATAGCTGCGTGCATACCATACACCCATATTCCGGGAAATCTCCCCGGAGAAGCGTTCGAATATGCGTTCCTAATAACCGGAACACTTACACAACAGCACTTTTCTAACGTAGGACCATTTAGCTGTTGAAGGCACCACACGACGTCGCGCATCTTTGCGCGTACGGCACCGGTAGCGATCGATAAGTGTGTGCTCATTCCATTCTTTTTCACCCTCATCCAGGCGCATGCTATTTCGCTTTGCCACATCCCCACAGATTCATACATTTCATGAACACATCGAATTGATAGTTATGGACGTCGCACGCCCCCTCCCTCCTGTCGCGATGTCGCGTGGTAACCGCTCGCCACATCCTGCGCCTTGGTTTATGGACAACTTGTACTCGATCTTACTGATAGCTACAACTTCCTGTTTTTTTTTCTACGCTCTCACCTCTGCATAACATTCTGAGGAACTTTGTGCCCTCACAGTTTTATGTTTTTACACATGGTCATTCATCCACTCCACTGTCCCCTCCTCCTAAAACCGTTCGTCCGCTGGCGTGACGTTTTTTGTACCTTTAAGCCTTGACAGCAGCAGTCCTCCGCTTCTCAGCGCGCTACCTTTTCGCACCAGTACCACCAGTGAATGTGCTAGAAGTAACATAACCCCGCGGAACTACCAGGAAGATGAAATGTCTGCGCCTCGTTGCTTCCACAACGAGGTCCATCTACGCTTATTAGGGGGAAACTACGTTTCCGAGTCATGGCGTGCATTGGGGTTTCCTCTTGAACACATTCACAACACCTGGGAATCCATAAGTTTCCTGTGCGGCACGACACTGTGGGATAATATGAGCGTTGTGGGACGAAATGACGGAACCATGCATTAAGGTAGCTGGGAGCAGCGGGCAATGGGCCTTCACCAGGCCACACCCACTATTCCTTCGCTTGCGCCCAGGGTTTAACACCACAGTCATCAAAGACCTGATAATTTGGTGCTCGCTGAAAATAGTGGCAGAGGTGTTGTATAGGGGGGAAAATGACGAGAAAGCGGGTTCAAACTGTCGGAAACCCGCAAAAAAAGCCTTTGCGCTGCACGCCACTGGACAGTCATTTCTGGACGAGCTTCCTATTAGCAAATCATCGACAACCTATTTGATAGAGCGTTGCTACATATATAAAAATAAATACGTTAGCCGTATACGGCTATGTATTCATATATGAATGTAGCAACGCTTCTGATCAATTGTACTTCATAAATGAAGCGACAAAAGTACTAGTCGATGGTGGTGCTCGGCCATTGTGAGTGGGCGGTTGCAGTGGGTGGTCGGCTCGTTGAAAAGTCATCACCCAGCGCCTGCTGAGGGGCCCAGTGTTCTTTCGTGCTAGAAGTGTCGGACCTTTACTAATTGTCGAATTTATTGTGCCACCTGCCTTTAAATCAGTCAAAAGTTTCAGATAGCCCTACTAACCACCTATGGACGTCCAAATGACAGTTATCATGCGCAGTTTGCACGTTTTCTACAACAATGTAACCGTCAAGTGTGGAGAGCGTTCTACTTTACGGCTGATCATTTTTCATGGTCAGTTGAGGGGTCCTGATTGCACCACTTCTACCAGCACAAAGTCTCCTAAAGAACAGTATAAGCCTTGTTGATAGTGTTTTTTAAGGATTTCACCTATGTTCCTTCACATTGCTTTGGCAATTACCACTCTCAGAAGCAGACTAATGTACAATCCAGCAGCTAAGTAAGTAATATATAATTTCTCAATCAGACCAATGAACTTTTTGAGCTGCTCTCTCTGTAGGACCCTGGTCTGCAATAATGAACCTTCTCCCAGATGAATCCAACCCAGCACCATGCATCAGCTATGTGACGACCCCACCATTGCGCGCGCGGTCGCGAGCGATTCAGTGACGTAGTGTATCTACTTTTGTTACGTCTATCGCTTGTATCAGTGCGACATTTTGCTAAAGTGAGCATGGCTCAACGACGCAACGAAATCAGTTCACTGAGGTAGTTGCGGGAGGGAGGTGATGAACGAGGCCAGAACACCTATCCTACATCTTCTGCGCTTTCATCTCATCATCGTCGACCAAACTTGGGGATACTATCTCGTTGAGAGAGCGTAGACGGGAGAGAATGGAGTCGCCTCGTCAAACCCCCCTCCCTCCCCCATTACTCTGGAAGCAAAACTTAGCGAATTCCTAGCTGACTGACTCTAAAAGATGCAGCGTTTCCACGTTAGAACTGGATCCTGGTGCGAATGCCGCACACGTGAAGCTACTTGCAACGTTGGTTTCACCGCGGCATTTGTCTCGCCAAGACCTGTTACGTGCTTACTGTTACCTTGTTCGTACATCTCTATGTACTTCCAGCGCCTGGAAATACCGCACTTTGAAGAGGAGGGGGTAACACCCTGGTCGTCCGCGCTCTTCTCAGACAGAACTTAGGCGAAGAGAGGGAACGTCATTCGGCGCTAACCAGCAGCCATAGCCGAGCGATTGCGTGTCACTCCTTCCACTCGAGCTACGTTAGTCCCCCACCCCTTCGATATTAGCATTTTTTAATCTGATTTTCTTGAGGGTGGGTGTGTTGGACACCACGAACTGGCAATGGGTTGAAGTATTTTCCGTCAACGACTACTACTTTACGAATATTGTTATGTTCGACAGCGGCCAAATGCTTATACATCAAACGGTGAGGAAAAGAACTATCAGAAATATTTATAAGTGTTTTATCAAGCTAATTGAGACGGCACTTGAGCTTTGCGACCGACCGCGCTCCACAGCTAATCGTTGGACCACTGCGAATGTGAATTGAAACACATTCAGGAGGACTAGTTCCAGCCGTTGCAGCGGTCCAATGTTTAGCGGAGGGGCTCGGTCGCTCGCAGTCACGCTATTTCCAAATCCCCAAGGCATGGAGTAAATAGTAAAAATGACGCTCAATTTTCCGCCCTCTGCGTGGTCCTTGCCATCCAGGGAACATCGCTGTTTCAGGACAAAAGCTGGAATACTGAGCAGTATGGTGTCCTACGAAATCCGTTCGTTGTGTGCACACTGCAGTCATCTGCTGAATTGACTTCACGACCATCTACCTATGATGACGAAAGAGAGACAATAGTAAGGCGGTTGCGGTGACTGAGCTCAACACTAGGCAAAACAATAAACATGATGTTTTGGAGTTTTCAAAGCTGGAGGGTATGTGCTAGTCTAGCCATAGACTGGTCTGTTGAATGCTTCATCATAAACTGAGAAGAAACCCTCCGACAATAAGATGGGCCGACAGTATTCGCGACTGCACCAAAACCCACCTAATTCGGCACGAACTACAACAATCCAATAAACCTTTGATTGTCCGACTTTAAGAGACAGCCCGCAATCATAATTCGTCAATTTTTGGGGCCCAAACTTGAAGTTCCTAGATGCCAGCTGACTTC